AAAACAGCCTCAATATCAGGTCAAACCTGTGTGGCACTTTTTATGACACCTGGAACAATCCTCTTTCGTTATTAGGGAGGGTATCCAAAGTATCAGCAACATTAAAACAGCAGTAATCTATAGAGTGGGCTGTCATAAAAAGGAAGAGATTGCAGGGTCAAACTCACCTGGATTTCAATGTGCGAATTTATTGAGCCCTTTCTTAACTGAATTTTTGATTTATTTAAAACATCTTAACTGGAATTTTAATATATTTAAAATATATAGAAACCCTGTCTCAGGCTTTCAGCTGTCACAAAGGTTTGACCTCGAAGTGTACTCTATAACATCTCTCTGTTTTGCTAATTATTGGTTTCCAGGTGTGGAATTGAAAATGCAAGCCATAATCGAGCCTCATCGCTCCTGAATGTCACTTGCACCATTCGCTTGTCTGTAGCACCCCCACCCCTCACACCCAGAAGCAATAATCACATCACAAGCATTAGTTCACTGGCTCAACATTCTGAGGAACAGCAAAGTTTAAGAGCATTCAGAGGGGGCCCCAAGCACAAGGCTCTCAGGTAATATGTGCTGAGAATGGAATGATTGTTACATTTAAAATAAAAACTGCTTCTGAGCCCAGGTTATGTCATGAATAACCGGCATGTTGATGGTCTCCATTTGCACTCAGACCCGGTTAGAGTAGTGGCAACTGTGAGAATGGTTGGTTAGCAAGTTTTGCTCCATTTGCACTTGAGAATGTGGCGAGGAAGGAAGAGGGCATTCGTCACAGGGTGAACCTTGGAAAACAAAAGCACACTGTTACAATCAGAAAGTAAAACAGTATATAACTAGAAGTAACACAGTGTAGAGCTGGATGAACACAGCAGACCAGGCAACATCACAGGAGCAGGAAAGCTGACGTTTCGGGTCTGGACCCTTCTTCAGAAATTTCTGAAGAAGGGTCCCGACGTGAAACATCAGTTTTCCTGCTCCTCTGATGCTGCCTAGCCTGCTGTGTTCCTGTGATGCTGCCTGGCCTGCTGTGTTCCTCCAGCTCCACACTGTGTTATCTCTGACTCCAGCATTGGCAGTTCTTACTATCTCTATAACTAGAAATGATCAGAAACAAACTGCACCAACTAAAACACAGCTTCTATGTTCTGGAAGGGCATCTGTTACATCATTAACAACTCATACATATAATACATACATAAACAAATGTTGGTCCATAGTGCAAAATACATCTAGCCCCTGATAAATGGAATTGCTGTTGTTGACTGTATGCCCAGATAACAGAGCTGGTATTACTAAATTAAAAATCTTCAAGACTGAGTTGGCTTCAAGTGGACACACCTAGTGACAGAAGTTTCAAACTTAGTAAAGACCCAGGCAGATTTGATAAAGCCATATCTGAAGTAGTCAGGTCTACGGTATTGCAAGACATTGTTAATACCTGACCAGGCAGTCTCCTTACATCCTGTGGCCTGGCAACAATAAACAGGCTATTACAGCTGACATCCCTCTTGCGTAGCTCCAGATGACTTGAGGAAACAAATCCTGACAAAGTAGGCTGAGCAATCAACAGGGAGCTTACCAGTGTTCCATGCTGCTGCAATTTTAGCCAGTTAAATTCAAACAGTACACCTGCACATTCCAGAAACTTTTGTCACCAATCTGCAACAAAGCTCACCTTGCAGTATTTAGGATGTGACCCCATGAGGGAAGACTATATCCATTCCATATCACTGTGGCAACACTCAAAGTTGGGTTTCCATGTTTGCCAGACAGCAAATTGACTGAATCAAAAGTTACAGAGCAACAATTCATACAATAGGCTGGTTTACATTTGACTGTTAAAAGCAAATTTAATTCAGGTAATATCATGGTTTCAGGGAGTTTGGTTTCTGTTAAGCTTAAATGTAACATGGAGTTTAAGCTCTGTTTGGACCAACCAGCTTTTCAAGCAGAAAGAGCTTCCTCTTGTGGTGACTTCCTCTTTAGATATAGTGATGTAATTAAACACTCATTTCGTATTTCCAGCACTTCCAGGACAACTGGTGACACCGAATTCTCTCAAATAAAAGCAGATGTTGGGTGAAGTAGAGTTAAATAGATTGGTAATTCTCTTTTTAAAGTTTGAATATTCCCCTACCTGCCTTAAAATGAACCACAGCGTGGCTAGCATTTCTATCTCAGAGGTGGAAGCATCTAAAAGGGTCGGACACTTTTATGGTCATCAATTATTGGAGACATTAGGAAAATCTGCCAAGATTGTTCTCCCTCCCATTTTTATGCTCAGAACCTCCTGTATGCCACCAGCTGAAGGGACAGGGAGGAATGTTAATTTTGGGGCATGTTCATAATTTATCACTAGTGACTCCTTCAAACTCTCTCTTGTTCCCATGGCTCATCAAGGGTCCATTCTGCATCCCCTCACCATGGCACAGCACGGCTGAGCATCACTAGCTGTTGAACTAACAATGCAGCCCATGCCAAATGAAGCTTATTGAACTGCAACATGATGCTGTGTTGGACATCTTCAACAATCTTTGAAGAGAGGTCAAAAATCCTCTGCTCTTTTAGCACTCTCCTACCATACATCTGAAATCCCAAAAAAAAAGAACAGGATCTAAATAAGGTAAATCCAACCCTAAGCTCTGAGCTTCCTCAGAGTCTTATAAAGGACAAAGCCTTAGCCCCTTAAAAGGTCAGCCACACAGGGGTCAGTGAGGGATCTACTATGTTGCAAGTCCCCATTATCTCACTTGTACAGGTCAAGTCATTTTTGAATACCAATATAAAATGCGAGGAGCAGACTACTGCTTTGCCCAATTCTGGGTCCTGTGCAACAGGGATGGGGTGTGGGGCGTGTCTTTCTTCATAGAAGGTTGTAAACCAGTTTACCAAAGAGAATTCCCATGGTGGGATGGGTGCTCACCATAATCAGTCAAAATGGGGTAATCTCCCACCTGTTCTGCTTATTCCAGCTATATTGGTACTGCCACCCAGCAGCACCACCAGATGTTCAGCAGCATGAAAATAAAACAAAGAATGGCAGATGCTGGAAAATCTGAAACAGAAACAAAAGCAGACATTTCTGGAGAAGCTTAACAAGTCTGGCAACATCTATGAAGAGAAAGCACAGTTAAGTGCCCCTTGGATAGACCCGAAACATTGGCTCTGCTATCACTCCACAGATGCTGCAAGCCCCGCTTAGTTTCTCCAGCAGTTTCTGTTTTTGCCTAGGAACATGCTTAGACTCAAGCTGGTCCTTATGATATAACTTTCCACTCAAAAATCTCTGGTACACCTTCAAACATTCCCAAGGACATTGAAATGAGATCTGGAAATGGGCTGTTCTTATAATGGGAAGTCATTAACCAGCTTAATACATCTTATCCTGTTTTGGTCCAGTGGTGGAATAATTAATCCTGCCTGATCTTAACACTCTCAGAATATCTTTAGCAAAACAGCTCAGTGAAATACATTAGTAGGTATGCACACTGATGAAGGAGGCCAGTTGTCAGAATACAAAGACCATGATTTTCCAATGGCCAAGCGTACAGAGCCATTGTTTCTTTGCAATTGCTAGAGGATCCAATAAGAAGAAGACATCAATAATAGAGGTGGTTGAAGTGCAGAGCCTAGACTTACCCCAGTTGTATCTCCAGCCAAAAACTTATTTACTGAGCAGTGGAGAAGTTTAGTGCAGGGGCAAATTGCAGCACACTTTATGTTTGGTCTGACAACTTCACAAATCCTTACCATTTTTTGAATCTCCCCCTGGTACCAGCAGTGTCCCATGGCATGGACTGGTTGGCGTGTTCTGCACTGACCCCTCCTGACTGGTACCCAACTGCAGTTTCCTCATGTGACGTATAACAGCTGTGGCATTAAAAGCTTGCTGTTGGAAGACAACAAAAATATCAAGGTGTTACAAATGATGGTGATTAGGGGATGAGTACAGAAACGATGGAAGAAACAAATATGCTGAGAAACTATATCTAGGAGGGTGATGAAGAATATACACATCTCAAAGAATAAGAAAGGATCCCATTCTATTCCATGAGTTATCACAGAATTCCTACAGTGTGGAAGCAGGCCATTTGGCCTATGGAGTCCACACCAACCCTCCAAACAGCATTCCACCCAGACCCCCTACCCTATCCCTGTAACCCTGCATTTCCCATGGCCAATCCACCTAACCTGCACACCTTTAGACTGGGGAGAAAATTGGAACACCTAGAGGCAACCCATGCAGACATGAGGAGAATGTGCAAACTCTACACAGACATTCACCTGAGGCTGGAATCAAACCCAGATCCCTGGCGCTGAGGCAGCAGTGCTAACCACTGAGCTTCCGTGCCACTTTGAAGGCCATGTCTCATTGTTTGCTGATGCTTCATCCTGAGCTGTTTCTCTCAGCAATTTTTTGTTGGTGTTTGGTTTGCCAATGCCTTCTATCCTCAGAGGCAGGACAATGAGACAGGTCTCAAGCAAACTTTAACCAGAGCAGGAATCTAATGCACCGTTCACATTACTTTGAACCACACACTAGCTATCGCGAGAGAACGGATGCACGAAGATACAACTCAGATCTCAATTAGGTAACTTTTATTAAGTTCAGCAATTCAGTGATTTGATAGGTGACCAGCCTCCTCCTGTACCATAATTACTCTATGATAAGCAGCCTTCTTTTCATCAATCACCCCACAAAAAAATAAAATTTCTAAGGACAAAGACTCCATTCCCTGTCCTTAACGTATCTTCCTGAAAATCTCCCTATTCTCATCAGACATAAACATTTCTTCATGTGTCTGGAGAGCTGTTGATGAGTTAAAGCTTCTTTTCTACATGGCTACTGCAAAACACAGAGTAAAGATTTCCGGTCAGATTTCTTGCTTTTTGAAGTAGTGGATCCAAATTGCACAACAAGAGAGGAAATAAAAGATGGTTCATTTAATTTGTTCATTTCTAATCGAAGACCTGAAGATATCATTTGCGTTGCTAAGCAGATAGCCTAAATGTTTAGTAGCATGACCCACAAGCTAAAAGGATAGGAGTAAATCTGTATTAGATACACATAGAACATTGAACAATTTAATATGTTACCGTCCAAACTCTAAACACAACACTGCTCTCAGGTACCTACCTTCCATTTACTCTTTGCAAAGTTCTTTTTGATTTGGGCACTGACAGACTCATGGATGTTCTTATCTAATGCAGTGTCACCAGCAATCCTGCAGGATGAAAGAAAAGGTCAGCATAAGAGAATGGACAAGTGCAAACTGCTATTGTATGTGATAAACGAGCTCACAATGTAACTATACAACAGAACATACGAATACAAGATCGAGATGGAGTATGCTCCCTGCACCAACATCCTTTTTACCGCAGTGTGCACTCTGTTCATAAACCTTTTATCAGCACAGGCAATGAATACAGTTCAGTTAAAACCTTACCATGGATGCTGCAAAGCTTGGTCACAGGTGTAACGTTTGTTTGGGTCTTTTTCCATCAAGTGTTGAATAAAATCTTTGGCTGGATTGAAAAGAATTATAAAACAGCAGTTATAAGATAGCTGACTCACAGATAGTAGGAACTGCTGATGCTGGAGAATCTGAGATAACAAAGTGTAGAGCTGGATGAACACAGCAGGCCAGGCAGCATCAGAGGAGCAGGAAGGCTGACGTTTCGGGCATAGACCCTTCTTCAGAAAAATGAAGAAGGATCCAGACCCAAAGCATCAGCCTTCCTGCTCCTCTGATGCTGCTTGGCCTGCTGTGTTCATCCAGCTGTACACCTTGTTATCTGAGTTATAAGATAGCTGGAGCTTTCCATGATGGGCAACCCAGCTAAATATTCCTATAAACAACAAACCTTTGAGATTGACATCGGGCTGTCGATAGTCAACAGATTTCAGTCATTGCTGTCAGGGAAGAAGCTGACTGGATGGTTGCTGCTTTTTCATGGGAAACAAGTGGAAAACAGATGGACAAGTCCCTACGGGTTACACATTTTCATCTCTCAGTAACTGTAAAGAATTCGTTCTGTAGAAGGGTCACTGGACTTGAAACGTTAACTCTGATTTCTCTCCACAGGTGCTGTCAGATCTGTTGAGTTTCTTCAGCAATTTCTATTACTGTTTGTTTCAGATCTCCAGGATCTGCATTTCTTTGTTTTTAATTATTATGTCTAGAACTTGTTAGCATCATTGCCATGACTCTCACGAACGTGAGTTAGGACAGGCAGGCCATTCAGCCCCTCTATGCTGCTCTGCCATTCAATAAGACCATGGTCTATTTGCGTTTCAAACTCCCCATTCACACTTACCCCCAATAACCTTTGATCCCCCTGCTATACAAGAAGCTATCAACTCTGCCTTCAAAATATTTAATGATCCATCCTTCACCATCTTCTGAAGCAGAGAGCTGCAAAGATCTATAACCTTCTGTGAGAAAAATTCCCTTCCTCTCTGTCCTGAGGGAATTCCTGCTAATATTAAAACAGCCCCCCTTGCCTTGGGCTAAGGAAACTGGAGAAGAGGAAACACCCTTTCCACCTCCACCTTGTCATAACCATTCAGGATCTTATAAACTTCAATCAAGTCACTCCTTACACCTCGAAACTGCAGTGGAAACAAACCCAACCTGTTTTACCCATCCTCATAAGACAACCTACTTGTACAAGGTATCAATTTGGTAAACCATGTCTGAACAGCCTACAATCCATTAAATATGGAGACCAAAACTGTACACTACATTCGAGATGTGTTCTCACTAATGCCCTGTATGACTGAAGCATAACATCTTTACTTCTACGCCTAATTCCTTTCCGACTAAAGGACAGTATCCCATTAGCCTTCTCAATTATGTGCTATACCTGAACAGTAACTCTTTGTGCCCCTTTCTACCAGACTCCCAACCTCATTTTTCATATTAATATTTTCTTCCTTTACCTTGTCTATATATCACATCCTTCTATATTTGTTCCATGCTCCCACTCTTTAAAACCCTGTCTAATTCTCTAGTTATATGATTTGCAAGAACACTAGATCCAGCATGGTCAGGGTGTAAACCACCTCCTCTTCTTCCAGTGCTGCTGCCAATGGCTCATAGACTGGATCAAATTTCTCCGACACAGTCTTTGAAGCCCATTTTTATTTTTATAATTCAATATGCCCATTGCCAATTTGCACACAGCTCAGAGGTAATAAAGCTTTGAGCTTCCACTTTTTAATTTCATGCCTAGTCCCTTAGAGTCTCTACGCAGAACCTCCTTCCTAGTTCTGTTGATGTGGTTGGGGCCTACATGGATCCTATCCCTCCCACTGCAGCTTCCTTGCCAGCCCTGAGCAGATACCTTCAACCCAGGCACTAGATAGGAGACATATCTGCATTGACTCTCACTCTTTGTTGCAGAGAACAGCAATTAGCAACAGATAGCACAAGGAATCCGCTGGGAGAGAACAGCTAGACATTGACATATCAGATCCAGATGGTCTGTATCGCAGGAAGTACAGCTGGGGAAGTGATATTAGACCCAAGATCCTTAATTACTCAAAAAAAAATTGGAAAGAGGAATTATGTAAAAGAGGTGTACTATGAAAATTTGAACACTCTCGTTCCAATACTTGAGTTGAATATCAATTTGGGGAGCTCATAATCAATAGCATGAAATAAACAAAAAGCGAATTGATGTGGTCAGCACGGTTTTGTACCAGGCCGTTTGTTGACTGATTTTGTCACACATCAGGGCTATACATACACTTATTGGCAGAGCATTAGATAAAGTTATGCAAAAAGATACTAGTTTTGAAAATTAAAGCCTGGCTACTGAAGGGAACATAGCTGTAGCTGAGTGGCTCAGGAGGTAGAAAACAAGGTACACAGGTAAGTGAAAACCGAACGAACTGCGGATGCTGTAAATCAGGAACAAAAACAGAAGTTGCTGGAAAAGCTCAGCAGGTCTGGCACGTGGATTTGGATGAGAGCTGGCTCGATCAGACCTCACAGCAAGGGACAGCTATTGCTTAAAGCTGGGGAATGACCAAGTGGATTGTGAAGAAATAAGAACGCTGCTGCTTCCTTCTACATTTAAAAAAAAATGTGTGGAGCATCTCAAAGAAGCAGCAAGTGGCTTCTTCTACATAATTTCCATGTCTTACATCTTAGTCCAGGAGCTAATGTGGAGAAATCCAATTTGCTAGTTAAAATGCACCATTGTTTGTTTTCTCTCACGCTAATCATGATGGTAAGACTCAGGCAGACATTTGTGGTGCAAACTGTTTATTGCCCTGTTTGGAAACTCAATCTGAGACTCTCCGCTGAGTGAACAGCAGTAGCTGGATGTGTTCAGGATGCTGTAGTGAGTAGGGCCTACCTGAGTCTGAAATATCATCCCAGTATGGAGAATCAAATTCATATTCAGCCTTTAGAATCTGCTCAAAGAGCTTTGCATCATTTTCGTCATAAAACGGAGGGTAACCACACAACCTGCAGAAGATGAGACAGAGAAAGCAAATGTCAAATAGGCAACCTTTAATAAACCCTTACTGTTCTGAATAGTAGTAACTTAAAATTAAATATTACATTTTTGATGATGAATCATTCCATTTGTTGCAACGAAAGATATTAAGGTTGGTGGACGGAGAATCCATTCTATTTTTTAGGCAGTCAAGCTATGCAACAGAAGTAAATTACAGGGAGTCCTTACTTAACACTGTCCTGTTCAGTGTTGCTTCACTTTAAAGTTGTTACATTGTTGGGGTCTGAAGTAAGCTTGAGCACTGCAAGATTCATTTTAAGATAGTAAGAACTGCCGATGCTGGAGTCAGAGATAACACAGTGTGGAGCTGGAGGAACACAGCAGGCCAGGCAGCAACAGAGGAGCAGGAAAGCTGATGTTTCAGGTCGGGAAATCTGAAATTTTCTGAAGAAGGGCCCCTACCCGAAACGTCAGCTTTCCTGCTCCTCTGATGCTGCCTGGCCTGCTGTGTTCCTCCACCTCCACACAAGATTCATTTTAACACTGTTTACTGAAGTACCAGACCCCGTTGGGATATTATGAGGTGACCGCTCCCTCTCTCAGACTGGAGGCCACTCCTGGTGCCAGCCTTCTGAATTGCGATCTTTCCCTGTGCCGCACTGCTACCTGAGCTTTGCACTAGGGCACTACGGCCTAACAGGCTACACTCCACCTGCTGAAGCCTGAGTGCCAGTCAACATGGTCTCCATCACCCCAATGCCAGTACTGCCCCCAGGACCTGCCCAGAGATGACAAAGCCACCCTTCCTGGCTGGCAGAGTACCAGCCAAAACTGAGCTCCACAGTGCCCTTCTCTATTGCCCCAGAGACAGCAGCTGGGGCCCAATTACTCAGGGAGATCCTCAATCTGCACCAGGGTCTGGAGGCCTCAACCTGCAGTTCCCCTGCACTGCCCCACCAGTGCAAGCATCCTGCAACCCCGGTCAGCAGTCCATAGAGAGGGAGAAAACAGCAAGCTTAGCTGTGACCCACACCCTGCCGACTGCAGCCAGCAGGAGGAGCTGTCGCAGTGAGTAGGAGCTGTTGGTGGTGGTAGCCAGAACAATGACCTCAATGAGCAAAGACCCCAGTCAATGCCAATCCCAGGCAGCAGTACCCAGGCTCCACTCTCAGAGGGTACACCCCAGGAGATTCATATTTAAATTTATTTTAACAGTTATTTAATAGTAGGAATTCAGCCACTTAATTTACTGCACTTCATCTTACAGCAGGGTCCAGCGGAATATTTTAATGCTTTTTGTTTTGCAAAGGAAGGTCCGATGGAACCTAACTCCAGCCTTAACATTGATTCCGGTCTATGCAAAGTTGCTTTACATAAAGTTGCAATTTTCCAGAATGCGACCACAACTTTCAGTGAGGAGTTCTAGTACTGCTCCACCCGTTAGGTTAGGTGGATTGGCAATGCTAATGCCCAGGGTTGTGCAGGTTAGATGGATTAGCCATGGTAACTGCAGGGTTACAGGGATAGCCTAGGGGTTGGGTCTGGGGGGGGGGGATCCTCTTTGGAGGGGCATTGTGGACTCAATGGGCCAAATAGCCAGCTTCCACACTGTAGGGTTTCTACGATTCTGTGCCACAATGTCTGAAAATGTCCCCATTGGTATCAGCTTCTCATTCCAGGCAGACCTACTAGTGATCTCTCTCTTGGTGAGATGAACAATTTGGAGCCAAACTCGGTGCAGTTTTGTTTTTCTAAATAGGAACAGAGAACTTCTGAATCAACTTGGTGACTGTCCCTCATCCATCATTCCCTACACCTTCCCCCATTCCCCGTGGCATCTTTCCTTGCCAGTGCATGTTGGGATCTGATGTGCATGTATCTTTAAGACAGCATATCTCAAACCACAGACAATCACTGCTCATTTCAACAGAATACCGGGTATTAGCGCCATGAGTTTTTAGGCAGTTTGAACCAGCAGCAGTACATGTTAGCTCCCAGTAAGTATTATCTCATCTCTACACAGGTCAGTTACAATATAGGAACAGTACACTATCTTTCAGTTAGGCTCTTTACTGCCTTCTGGACTTAACACAGGATTCAAAAATTGCAGAATGACATCTGTGCCCATCCCTCAGCCCTCTTTGTTTCCAGTTCTTTGTATAGTTCATTTTGACGTGTTTTTGCTCTCAGATGGTAGCCATTCAACATTCTGTCGCTCACATCTCCTGCTGATACAGAGCATTTTGTTTCTTTGCTTATTCCATTACAACTCCTTTTGGCCCTGCACCACCAATTCTTTTGTTCAGTCTCTCCAGTCATCGCCACTAACCCAGGCCTTCCCTTTACTCCTATTCTGAAGCACAAAGGGACATAGGAGTCCTAATTCAGGATTCTTTTAAGGTTAACTTGCTGGTTCAGCTGGAAGTTAGGAAGGCAAAAAAGCAATATTAGCATTCATTTTGAGAGGGCTAGAATACAAGAGTGGGATCCACTGCTGAGGCTGTTTTAGGCTCTGGTCAGACTGCATTTGGAATATTGTGAGCAATATTGGGCCCCACATCAAATGAAGGATGTGTTGGCCTTGGAGGGAGTTCAGAGGAGGTTTACAAGAATGAAGGGCTTGTCATATGATGAGCGGTTGAGGACTTTGGGTCTGTACCCGATGGAGTTTAGAAGGATGAGGGGGTAGATCTGATCAAAACTTACAGCATTTTGAGACACCTGGATAGTGTTGACATGGAGAAGATGTTTCCACTAGTAGGAGAGACTAGGACTTGAGGGCAGAGCCTCAGAGTGAAGAACGACCCTTTAGAACTGAGATGAGGAAGAATTTCTTCAGCTAGAGGGTGGTGAATCTGTGGAACTCATTGCTGCACAAGTTGTGGAGGTGAAGTCATTAAGTGTGTTTAAAACAGAGACAGATAGGTTCTTGATTAGTGAGGGGATCAAGGGTTATGAGGACAAAGCACAAGAAAGGAGCTGCAAAACATATCAGCCATGAGCAAATGGCAGAGCAGACTTGATGGGCCAAATGACAGAAAGGAGAGTGGAATGGGACCACAACCAGATCAGCCATGATCCTACTGAATGGCACATCAAGCTTGAGGGGTTGAATAGCCTTCTCCTACCTATAAATCCTATGTTCCTTGTTCTAGCATTCATGGCATTTTGCTTTTGGGATCATCCTTACTCATTTCACACAGGACCTTTCAGCCAAGTCACTCACCCCAGTAATGTAGATTGGATTGGACACTAGGTTAAAGTCATTCAAAGAAGATTCAAATCCTAGTCTCTGATGGATTAGTTACTCTCAAATCCATTTGAACTGTAAGATTCATTTGCTCCTTTTCAAGATCAGATTCAGATGAAGATAACTTACAAAATGTAAGAGATGACTCCTATGGACCAGCAGTCAACTGCTTTACTGTAAGGCTTCTGGGCCAAAACCTCTGGAGCTGTGGGAGAAATTAGAAAAGGATGGATTAGCAGAACTGGTAACACCGGTCTCCGCTGACAGAAAACAAGCAGAACTGAGCCCTTGAAGGCGCTTCTACATAGGGGCATTACCACTATCTCTAAGTTAGGAGGCCTGGACTCAAGTCCCACCCACTCCAGAGGTGTGTTATAACATCTTGGAATAGGCTGGTTAAAAAATAGCTACATCGAATGTAAGCCAAATCTTAGCCCCTTTCTTACTCAAAACAACTCACCCATCTCCATTACTGCCAAGTCTGTTTTCCTGTGCATTTGTCTTTCATTAACAGTGAATTATATCTCAATGTAAATCCCTGAGCATTTGCAAATAAAAAAAGGGTTCAGCCATCCGAGGGAACTTTGCTATAATGTAACTCCCTCACACCATTACATCTTTTTAATGAGACACACCATCTGCTGGAGGATTAAAGGCAAACGACGAAATGAGAAAACCCGACCTCAATTGAGGAAAAAAACCTTCAGATAAAATTGTCTCTAAGCTCTGCAAACAATCAACAAGGCTGAAAGAAACTGGAGTATTTCAATGGCCTATTCATCTGGCTACTTTCTTAAATAGAGATCTTAATTCGCTGAATCCCAAATGGTGTTAATGCCTGGGCTAACAATAATCCTGGGGAAATCTTTTCCAGATACAGGTTTCTTACATTTAATCCTTTTTTTTGAGTTACAAGTAAAATTCTCTCCCAACTTATTTTTTTATAAGTTTGCAAGCTGGAAAATTGTCAGTTTGAAGAGGTTGTCCTCCCATGGATACCATCCGTCTACAATCCACTCAGACATACCTCTGTCCCCACAGTCTCACTACACACTAACCTACCTTGGCACAAACACGTTAGGTGTGGAGTCTGTTTCACATGCACCACCCAACATTTCTGGACAGTATTTAACATCAATTTTGCACTCATACTTGTGGCTTGGTCTGAAACCAGAAATGTAGCTGGAGCATTGGCTCAAATTAAACATTCTGCCTCTGGTTCATGGATTGTAACTACCCTGTTCATCCACTGAGTGTGACCTTATTGAAGTTTTCATCCTGACAGATAAGACCCTGGAAGAAAACTAATTCCACAAACTCTTGGGCAACAGCCGCTTACAAAGGCAAGAAATCAGAGAAAGAATCCTTTAATGGGGAGGCAATGGCCCAGTGGTATTATTGCTGGACTGTTAACCCAGAAACCCCAGTAACGTTCTGGGGACCCGGGTTCAAATCCCATCATGGCAGATGGCGGAATTTGAATTAAATAAACATTTGGAATTAAGAGTCTAATGATGACCATTATCGATTGTTGGGAAAACCCATCTGGTTCACTAATGTCCCTTAGGGAAGGAAACTGCCATCCTTACTTGGCCTGGGCTACACATGACTCCAGACCCATAGCAATGTGGTTGACTCTTAACTGGCCAAGTCAATGACACCCTCATCCCATGAATGAATAAAGAAAAGAAATAGCAATTAAGGCTGTTAAGAAGTGAACTAGTGGCCACTTAAGGATCTGCATTCCCCATTAGTTGAGTAAAGTGGTTAGAATGGGAATCCTAAGCCTAGATAGTTCAGCTGGTATAGCAACAAATTTGGAGGGCTCACGTAGTGCAATGGTAATGTCGCTACCGCTAAGCCAGGAGGCCTGGCATCAAGTCCCACTTGCTCCAGGGGTGAGCAATAACATCTCTGAACATGTTCTTGAACAAGAAACATCTAAATTGGGAAACCATGGTAACTTGCCTGCTGACTTGGGCAGGCTGGGAGGTTCTCCACTTCAGATAGGAGAACTCTGAAAGCTATACCCCTGACATTGCATCTGGTTGTTTTCTCAGGGCTAAATGTAATGCTGACATTGTAAATCAGTAAATCACTGCATCACATTAGATCTGGTTTGATGCAGTGGGCTGTGTGGACTTACCCACGTATCCTGGGGTACCACATGCTGTGGACATCACACTCCCAGTGCCCTCAATTTTCGAGAGGCCAAAGTCACTGATCATTATTTTGGAATCTTCATCAACGCTGTAGTACAGCAGGTTCTCAGGCTGTGGGTAAAATGCAACAAAAACCAAAACACTCACTTCAGTCACCAAACACCAAAGAGTCTCTCTGCAGAGCTAAGCACAACACAGAGCATACGTTACAATGCAAAACTGAAAAAGAGAGGATCAGGAGGGATGTGGACAGAGCAGACAGGGAGAAAATATTCCCGCTCACAAAGGGATCGAGAGGGAGAGAGCGTAGATTTAACGTCATGGGTTAAAGCAGCAAAAGACACAACGAGAATCAGCCGGGAGATGAAGGATCTGGAATTCATTCAGTCAGGATGCTCAGAGGGAATTAGACTGTTTGCTAAAAAGGAAAAATGTGCAGGGTTATGGGGAGCAGGCTGGTGAAGGGCACCAAGTGAAATGTTTGAATGGGAGACTTGATGGACTGAATGGCCTCCTTTTGCACTGTAACAATTCAATGATTCTGATTGGTTTAGGTTATTAGCTGTAAACTGCTTGCAATGCTCAGAGATTGTGAAATGTCTAAATAAACACACGGCTTCCTTTATGTGGGTGCGACAGCGCTATATATGTTTTTTTCTTAAAACCAAAAACCATAAGACATAGAAGAAACAGGCCAATCAGCCCATTGAGTTTGCTGCACCATTCAACGAGATCATGGCTGATCTGATAATCCTCAACACCACTTTTCTGCCTTTTCCCCATATCCCTTGATTCTGTCACCGATTAAAAATCTGTCCATCTCAGCCTTGAGTATACTTCATGACCCAGCTTCCATGGCCTTCTGCAATAAAGAATTCCACAGATTCACAAAAAGAAGAAATTCTTCTTTTATTGTCTTAAATGTGTGACCCCTTATTCTGAGATTTTGCCCTCTCGTCCTAAACTGTCCCACAAGGGGAAACAAACTTTCCATATCTACCTTGTCAAGTCCCCTGAGAATCATATACATTTCAATCAGGTCGCCTCTCATTCTCCTAAATTCCAGTGAGTACAGTCGAACCTACACAATCTCTCCTATAAGACAGTCCCTCTATATCTAGGATCAACCTGGTGACCTTCTCTTGACTGCCTCCAGTGCCGATATATCTTTCCTTAGATAAGAGGCGCAAAGCTGTTTACAGTATTTGGCTGTGGTCTGACTACTGCCTTGCATGGTTTTAGCCGAACCTTCTTACTTTTATACTTCATTCCCTTTTTAAATGAAGGCCAAAATTCCAACTGCCTTCCCTATTGCCCGCTGAACTTGGTTGCTGGCTTTTTGTGATTCATGGATGAAGATCCCAAATCCCCTCAGTTCTGTAGCTTTTTGCTGTCTATCTCCATTTAAATAACATTCAGCTTCTCTATTCTTTCTGCTAAAGTGTGTAAGCTCACATTTCCCCACTTTATATTCCATCTGCCCACTTTACCTGCCTATATCCCTCTGCAGGCCCTTTATGTCATGCTCATCCCATGCCTTCATATCCATTTTTGTGCCATCTGCAAAATTGGCTATAATATGTTTACTTTCTTCATCCAAGTTATTCATATATACCGCAAATAATTGTGGCCCCAGGTTTGATCCCTGTGGCACTGCACGATAGCTGAGAGAGTTCGGAAGAAAAAAAGTTAAATACAGTTTCCAAACTGTGAACATTTGCCATAGTGGCCACATACCTTCAAGTCTCTGTGTACAATGCCCAGTTCATGCAGGTATGTGACAGCATCTAGGATTTGCTGGATCAACATGCTGGCATCTTTCTCTGTGTAGAAGCCCTTGTCCACTATTCTGTCAAACAGCTCCCCACCAGACACACTGGGAAAGATCAAGGGAAACACAATGATAGGGCGTAGAATGCAAGACGACATTCAATGTACAGCTCCTATGAAGCACAGTGGAAAATCCACTCCTCACGCAGAAGAGGACAAGGCCCATGTTTCACATTATTGGAACAAACGCTTGAGCCTTGCCTAGGCAGTGCGAACAGACATCATCCAAATGCAGTGATGTACCTTCACCATGATGTACTGTTACCAGGTGCATTGAGGCTATTGGCACTGGTGAAATAAACTCCAGGAAAGATAAGCAAGCCAATCTTCTTGTGTGACACTCTTAATTCGCTGCCTCCACACACCTAGCACCACCTGTCAGGCTTATACCCACTGACACTGGTGTTCAATCAAAATGTTCTCTTCATATGCAACTCAGCTTTGAACAGACAGCAAACTACAGGTTTTTTCTACCTTCCCAACAAACTATCCACTTTTACTAAAATCCTAATGACAAATAGACAGTGCAGCCTACAGGACAAGCCAAGTTATTACAAGTAGAATGTCCTCATCAATGCACCCAAGATATTTTTTGGCTCGGTTTTCACCCAGAACAGATTCTCTTCAGATCCTCATTTTCTTGCTTATTTCTTTATTTATTTAACTTTATTTCTTTATTTTTCTGCTTTGTACGAAGAAGAAGGACAGTATTGTCTAACTTTTAACTTTGTTTCTTTATTTTTCTAAGATTTTGTTCCTGGGTAACTTTGTACCTAAGTTGGTGCTGGGAATGGCGACATTGTACAATTTTTACTGTGCTCCTGTACTTCTTTGCTTGAGTAAGTGTGACAATAAAATCTAATTCTCATTCTAATGTATTCAAATAACTCCTTACTGGCTGCTGGGAAAGTTCAAACTATGAGGTATACTGACAAGATGGTTTTGAGATTTGGATGGATTACTGAAAGTAAAATATAAATAATTCCTTGTACGGTGCAGCCACCAGCCTGGTTCCCTACCTACAAAAAGTATCTAGAATTTTGCAGGAGTTAACAGTGTCACATCACTTTATGTTTCATTCCAAATGGAAACTGAACGAGGAATGCTCCAGCAACGGGCAAGGTCCCAATACTCATGTTTCTTCTGAAAATCCAACAATACTATTGTCGGTTAAATAAATCACTACAGCCTCAGGAATTTAAAAAAATGGTAGGTACTTATAGGCAAGGAGAAAACCGAGATCATTGGTTAGTGAAGGAAAGCCGTATCCAGTGTCAAAGATGGTGCTGCAGGAAGGGATGCTCTTGCGATCAGGGAATAGTTTTTATAGAAACTCATGCACAGATCATACAAGTGGAAACTAGCTCCACTCACTCTGTTGCCAGTGCAACCCCCTCCCCCACCTCTCTTGTGGAGTCAGCCTACAATCTGCTCCTACTGGGGCCTCAGTCCCTGACTATTCAAGAGTAATATTTTTGCTCTGAGTGCAGTTAGAAAGTGGAATCTGCTGCTACAGGGCTCGAGACAATTAGCAAATGCACATTTGATTTGATTTGATTGGATTTGTTGTTGTCACATGTACTGAAATAAAGTGAAAAGTGTTGTTTTGCATGCTATACAGGCAGGTCATATCATACAAAGTGCATCAGGGTAGCAGAACAGAATGCAGAATACAGTGTTACAGCTGCAGAGAAGGTGGAGAGAGAGAGATCAACATTAACATTTGAGAGGTCCCTTCAAAAGTCTGATAACAGTGGGGAAGAAGCTGTTCTTGAATCTGTTTGTAGGTATATTCAAAGTTTCATATTTAAGGGGAAGCTAGGTCTTTGAAGGAGAAAGGAGTATAAAGATGTATCAATAAGGTTATACAAAGTAAAATGAGAGAACACTCTTGTGGAGCAATCCCATTAACACTGAGCATGTTGAGCCCAACAGTTTATTTGTTCTAAAACTGCTGATTAAAACATCATGTGGACACATGGAACCATACCACCACCTAGTGGACATACTTAGGAGCTCATACTGTAGTGTCACAGCACCATCTGCAGGACACAATGTGTATTTCTTGAGCATTGCTGGCATCTACAAGAAAAACAGAAAGTGCTGGTGATACTCAGCAGGTCTAGCAGCATGTGGAGGGAGAAACAGAGCTAACGTTTCAAGTCCAAGGTGACTCTCCCTCAGAACTGAATTTCCAAATGTTAACTCTGTTTTTCTCTGCAAAGATGCTGCTGACTTTCTCCAGTATTTTCCGTTTATATTTCCAATCTCCAGCTTCTGCAGTATTTTATTTGATTTCACAACTGCTGAGTTCCGCACTTTCACCATTTTGGGAACTGACTTTTAATCCAGAAGCTGAAGTGGAGCAACCGGCTCAATAACAAAAAAGCCAAAAGAACTGCGGATGCTGGAAATCAGAAACAAAAACAGGATTTGCTGGAAAAGACTCGGCAGGTTTGGCAGTAGCTGTGGAGAGAACTCAGAGTTAATGTTTCAGGTCCAGTGACCCTTCTTCAGAACCAGATCAATATCCTGGCAGGAAGTTGAGTGAAGGAGTTGGTGTTCAGTGCTAAGCAGCGCATCTTCTCAAAACCACTCTGACCTACAAGATTCAAGTTTGTCTAGATTGTTGTGAAATATTCAGTACCAGCCCTGGACAGTGCCACACGTTGTGGTATACCAACTACTGGCAGTTGGTATTTGTGTTGGGGATAGAAAGCTGTCTTCCAGTCTAAAGTTACCTTTGTTATATATCCAGAAGTTCTCATATACACAATTGAACATTTCTTTTTCCCATAATTAAATCCCCTATGGTATTTTTTTCATCTATTAACCACCATCAGCAAATTACCAGTGTTTTCCAACTGATTATTTTATGAGCAAAGCCTATAAGGGTGCTGTAGACCACCAAAGTTGAGGGAGAAGTAGGGAGAGCACGAGGGGGCTAAATTAAAATGGAGTTGGAAGGAGAGATAACACACCTCCCTCTAAAGGCAGAGAGTATTTATGGACATTGCATGCTTCCTCTCAAAATGATCTTGAATCAATTTGTTCAGAGATGTTATAACACATCTCTAGGTCAGATGGGACATTAACCCAGGTCTCCTGGTCCAGAGATGGGGACACCACCACACCATACTAAGTCAATGGGTTTATATAATGTGCAGTTGTAAAGGGTAAATGAGTGAGTGAGTGGAGTTTGTGTGCATGTGTGTTTTGCCTTATCTAAAGGGATAAACATTTATGTTTCCATATTGCTGACTGTGTATGTTAACCAGTTACTGCACCTTCACTGAACAAGTTTTAGTTTAAAAATGGACCAATAATTATGTTTATTAAAGGAACTTCACTCTGCTGTGACTTCTGACACTAGAGCAGTAATGCTGTGGAATCACCAACACCTTAAACTTTCCCTCCAAGTCACACAGTGCCCTTCTTCAGATTGTATTCTCATTCATCCATGAGATGTGGGCTTGACTGGCAGGGTCAGCAGCTCCTGCCCATCTCTAATGGCCCTCCAGGACATACCACCATTGCTTTCCCCATCATCAAGTCGTTATCCAAGCATTCTCTTCCCAAACCCACAGAGGGAACTGAGGGTCAATCTCTACATTTCCAGGGCAATTGGAGATGAGTGATAAATTCTGGCCTTGCCTGTGATACCACAAATTCACAATAAACTAAAGAAAAGGCTTCCACATCCCATATGATCTGCACAAAGACAGGTGAACTTTATCCCTGAGGCTGATGGCCTTTGAACAGTTCCTGTGGTTCGTATTAACAGCCAGTTAACAAACCATTGAACCAACAAAGGATGAGAAACATGAACCAATTCTGTGCTGAAGCACATTGAATTGGAACACTTTTCACATTACTTTGCTCGTATTGTTTTCACCCAGAAAAATGAAAAGCATCAGACACATTTTTCCATATTGTTGCAAAACTAATTTCAGCAAACAATATGAACAATAAATAATACTTTAATTTATAGAGCATCTTACGGAAAAGACGTTCAATCCATTAGGGCTATTATTAGGATTTTTCTTTTGCAGAAAGAGTGGCAACATGTAAAAGAAATTACAATGGAAGGGAAGTTGCGGTATCTTCTAAGCAACAATTGAATACTGAAGGAGTGGCTTTTTAGTGACATAATTTCTGGATGAGTGAAAAACATTCCAAGGTGCTTCACAGGAATATTGTAAACAAAGAATGACTCTGAGAGACATACAGGGATATTGGGTTAAATCGCTAAAAACTTTGTCAAAGGGATAGATTTTGAGAAGTGCCTTAAAGGTGAAAAGCCAAGAATAAAAGGATCCAAGGATTGTATTCCAGTTCTTAGGGCCTCAGCAACTGAAGGTGCAATCTCCAACAGTGGAGCGATTAAAATTGGGGGTGTACAGGAGGCTGGAATTAGAGGAGCATAGACGTATTGAAGAGTTGGAGGACATTACAGAGTTAGATAAGGGCAAAGCTGTGGAGAGATGTGAAATCGAGGATGAGAATTTTAAAACCAAAAATACCTTGACTGAGAGCCAATGCAGGTCACCCAACCATAAAGGTGCATGGGCAATGGGATTTGCTGCAAACTAATACATGGGCAGCAGGGTTTAGAATAATCTCAAGTTCACAGATGGTAGACAATGGGAGACCTGGTCAAGGTGTATTGGAATAGCTCAGTCTAGGGACAGCAAAGGCCTGAACGAGGGATTTAGCTGCAGATCAGAGGAGGTGAAATCGTTGGAACTGAGAATGGATCTCCCGTATCTAGGACTATCTTACTACAGCTTCAAAGGAAAGTCTTAGATTAATTGGTTCACCTATGACTCCATAAATCTCAGGTTTTCACTGAATAATTAACGAAGGTGGGCTCTGAAAAGTTTAGTGTCCACTGCAATCTGCTTCCTGTCTCACAATTGGTCCTCTCCTTGGCATTTCTGCCTCTTGAAAATCAGGAATCCTTTTGGCTTTTTGAGTAAATCTGCTTCCACTGTGTTTTGAGAGTCTGTTCTGGCTTTGTCTTGCCTTCTCAACCTCACCACATCC